ATATAGAGGAGGAAGAGGAGGAGGAAGGAATTTGGGGTTCTCCCCCCATCTCTGCTGCCCCAACAAGGCCAAGGGCAGGGATTTGGGTCCCGGGGGGAGGATGGGGGGGGGCAAAGGCAGAAATGAGACAAAGTTTTGGAAAAAAAAACAAAAAAAAGGGAAAATATCTTGTTGTAAAATCTCTGCTACATATAATCATCTGCGGCTCCTGCGGCGATGGAGCCCCCGGCCCAACAAAAGTCCCCCCCTCGAGGAGGGGGTTTGGCTCCTCCCCCCCCAAGCGATTGTACGATAAAATAACACCCCCCCACATTGAAAAATTATACAATTATCAAAAAGGGATGTGACAGAAGGAGCCTCTCCCCCCACCCGCTCTGTCCCACGTCCCCCACAGGTCTGAGGACCCCACAGTTTGGGGGGAGGACCCCTCCAGCCCCTCACCAGTCCTTGTCCTCCCCCCATGGGTTGGGGGTTTGCCGGCTGCTCCACCTGGTTCTTCTTCTCCAGGAGCTTGGATTGTCCATGGCAGGACCCAAAATTGGGGGGGCTCAGGGAGAGATGGGTCTGGTCTGGGGGGACACAGACCTGGAGTCGTTGTTCTTCATCCACGTGGCCCCCAAATCCTGGTGTCCTCAGGGGGGTGGTGAGGTTTGAAGGACCTGAGGCACCTCCAGCTCCTGCTCAACAGCCGCCCATCAGGTTTGCCGGCTGCTCCACCTGGTTCTTCTTCTCCAGGAGCTTGGATTGTCCATGGCAGGACCCAAAATTGGGGGGGCTCAGGGAGAGATGGGTCTGGTCTGGGGGGACACAGACCTGGAGTCGTCGTTCTTCATCCATGTGGCCCCCAAATCCTGGTGTCCTCGGGGGGTGGTGAGGTTTGAAGGACCAGAGGCACCTCCAGCTCCTGCTCAACAGCCACCCGTCGCTCCAGAGTCCAGTTTTCCAGGGCTGGATTTCTGCAGAAATGGGGATTTTCCTCCTTCAGCCCTTGGTGCAGCTCCGCGTGGTCGCTCCTGTGTCTCCTTCGTGCCACAAACAGGCAGCGTGAGCCCCACACCAACACCTGGGAGGGTTAATACTTTGCTGCTTGACAAAATACAGCTTTTCTAAGCCCAAGAAAACACCCCAGCCTGGCCCTGGGGAGGGCACGGGACGTGGGGGGAGGCTGCAGAGGAAGAGGAGCCCAGGGTGGTTATTGCTGGTGGGATTTTCCTCGGGGAGAAGGAGGGGGACGGATGGTGGGACGTTTCCAAACTCCCCACCTTTCCCCAGGTCGATTTGGACGTGGTGTTTGAAGTGAGAACAACAAAAAAACAACAAAAAACCTTCAAATCTGAAGTTTTCCATCAAAAGCAGGAGAGAAAAAAAAAAAAGAAAGAAATCAAACTGCAAAGTTCTCTGCTGCAGCAGCGCGAGGAACCGCCGGGTCTCTGCGAGCACCAAAACTCCACCATCAGCAACACAAACCTTTCCAAGCCTTTTCCACGGGGATATTATGGGTTGGGGACGTTCCCAAAATCCGCTCTTGGGAGCGTCTCCCCCATCGTGGCAGCACCAAGACCCAGCAGTTCAAACGTGCCCCCTTCCTGCCCCCCCCCCCAGCACAGGGAGGAGGGAGAAATACCTGGATTTCATCCCAAACACCACCAGGCTTCCAGGAAAGCTTGGAATTCCTCCCCCACGTTTCCTTCCAAGTCCAACTCCACAACCAAGAATTTTTCCTGCTGGAATCAAAGCCATGGCCTGGGGGGGGGGCAGGGATCAAACTCTTCTTCCAGCCCCTACCCGCCCTGAGGAGGGTGAGAGCCCCCACGAGCTTTTTCCACTGAAGAAGCCAGAAGATTAAAAGGTTTAAAATGTTTTTTAAAAAAATTTTATATATAGATATATATATATATAAAAAAAAAATATTCCTGTTCCCTATCTTCGCCTGTTTCTCCTCCGTTTTGTGATTTGGCAACAGGGTCTTGGTATGGCATGAATTTTGCTTTTCTTGAAGGAGATGGTGAGCGGAAAATACGGCCCCTCAGAGCACGGAGTGAAAAACCACGACTCCTCAGCACAGCCCCAAAGGATTCCCCTCCGTGGGGGTACCCAGATGCCCAGCTCCAAAACAAAGGTGAGGAACATCACAAACAGCACGGAGCAGGGTGTTTTCCCCCTCCAGAAGCTGATAAAAAGCCCGTTGGAATATGGGTTTGTGGCAACACGGGCTGCAGAACCCACACAGGGAGAGCAAAGCTACACAGATAATTATTTTTATGGCTCGTAAGTATCCTGTCATCTCCAGGAAGGACCAGGCCTGGTGGGAATCGATAGGTCACGCTGAAAACAAGAGGCCTGGATTCATTGCACAGTTCAGAGAGAGGAGCAACAGCACCTGAACACACACCTCTGTGTACAGCACCCGGTCTGGGGGCACAGTAACAACCCCCCGAGCTTCCTCCCAGGAGCAAAGCTGCCTCACGACAGAGGATTCCTCCACAAGCATCCTCCAGAATCACTTTCTAAGAGGGTTAACGCTCGGAAGAGTTTCTTCCGATATTTAAAAAGTTACAATACTTTTGTGTTTTATAGAAAAAAAAAAAGTCACGGTACAGAAGATTGAAATAAAAACCAGTAAAAGCCACCTCAGGAGTTGGGAGGGGGCTGTCTGTCACCCAGACAGGGATCCCTCCCCACCAAGCCAACGTGCAGGAGGAGAACCGCGAGCGAGCGGCTCCGGAAACACGAGGCCTTGGGTCGAGGAGTCCTGGAGGATCCAGGAGAACAGTCCCCCCCGCAGCCAGCACCATGAGGAAGAGGAGGAGGAGGCCAAAACCCCAGCATCTTCCTCCATCCATCCATCCATCCATCCTCCAGGCTGCCGGGCAGAGCTTCGCCTCCGGGAGGTGGGAAGTGTTGAGAAAGTTCAGCAGTCTTTGGAAAAAAGACTTAGGTGTTTTCCTTTACACGTGGGTATTATATAGAGCTATAATTTGCTTCCCCCCCCACCAAGGGTTTTCTCTTATTCTGAAAAAGAAGGGAATATGTTCAACTCTGGGAACTCTTCATTGTTGTAGTTGGGTCCTTGGTCTCCCAGCATGGTCAGCATGTCCTGCGAGGGCACAAGGAGAGAGAGGGGCGTTACCTGGACTAGAAAGAACATCATTAAACCAAAAGAGGGGAGATGGAGCTGAGATTTGGGGAAGAACTTCTTTGCTGTGAGGGTGGTGAGAGCCTGGCCCAGGTTGCCCAGAGAAGCTGTGGCTGCCCCATCCCTGGAGGGGTTCAAGGGCAGGTTGGAGGGGGTTTTGGAGCAACCTGGAGGGGGCTTGGAGCAACCTGGGCTGGTGGGAGGTGGGGAGGGGACTGGGGGAGCTTTAAGATCCTTTTCATGGTTCTATGGTCACGTTGGCAATTTAATCAGGGAGGAGTTTGCCAGGAGCAGGCACCACACCCCGGGATGGCCCCCTCTCTCCTCAGGGCACACGGGGTTTGTGGCCACGGATTTCAGTCTCCAGCAGCAACTGCTGGAAAGCAGGGGGGCAGCAACTCGCAAGAATATCAACTTTCAAGAGTTATCTACACTTTATTGCATTGAGGGGTGTGTGTATTTGGCTCTTTTGTCACTGCTTTTAGAGAGGAGCTGGTAGAGTTTCACACTGATCCTGCAATGGTCCAAGACCCAAAGCCAAGCTGGGTCTTCCTCCCGTTCTCCCTCCCCTTTCCCATTCCAGCTCCATCAGGTCACTCACAAATTTGGTATTATCAACTTAAAAGGGACAAGCTCTTGGTGCTGCAGCCACCTGCCCCCCCTTTCAGGAAGCAAAACCCCTTCATTCCCACAAAATAGGCCCCCACTGGGGAGGAGAAAAGCACCCCATCTTACTGGGAAGACCTCGGGCTGGCTCGGCTGCGGCTGCTGCACGTGCTGCTCCCCCGAGGCCGGGCCGTGGTGCTGGCCTTGCCACTGTGGCCACATCCCCACACCTTCAGTTGCCCGTGTCTGGAAGGGGGCCGGGGTCTGCGCCGTCTCCGTGGCTGTTTAACAGAAAGCAAAGTCAGTAAGGGGTCTCCTGGGGCAGGGCTGGGGTTTCTGGGGTGCTTTAACTGGACTGGGAAGGACACAACGCATTGGGTGGTGCTTACTGGGAAGAGGGCAAGATCCCCCCCTCCAGGAAAAGTCACTCAATTAAGGCATTTGTCAGTACCCATCTATGGGGCAGAAGAGGAACACACACAGGGGAGGTCCTGGAGGGGTTTGTTTCACAGAATCACAGAATCTTCTAGGTTGGAAGGGACCTTCAAGATCATCTTGTCCAACCGTCAACCCAACTGACAAAAATAGACACCCCCACAACAAACAAGGAGCATCATCACTAAACCATCCCTCCCAGCACCACATCAACCCGGCTTTTGAACACCTCCAGGGATGGGGCCTCAACCCCCTCCCTGGGCAGCCCATTCCAAGGGCTGAGAACCCTTTCAGGGAAAAAATTGTTCCTAATATCCAGCCTGAACCTCCCCTGGGGCAACTTGAGGCCATTTCCTCTTGTCCTGTCGCCTGTGACTTGAGAAAAGAGACCGACCCCCACCTCTCTACACCCTCCTTTCAGGGAGTTGGAGAGAGCGAGAAGGTCTCCCCTCAGCCTCCGCTTCTCCAGGCTGAACACCCCCAGCTCCCTCAGCCTCTCCTCATCAGACTTATTCTCCAGACCCCTCACCAGCTTTGTCGCCCTTCTCTGGCCCCGCTCCAGCCCCTCAATGTCTTTTTTTATGGTAGGGGGCCCAAAACTGGACACAGCCCTCGAGGTGAGGCCTCACCAGTGCCCAGTACAGGGGGACAATCCCCTCTCGGGGCCCTACTCCCCACGCTGGTCCTGACACAGGCCAGGATGCTGGTGGCCTTCTTGGCCACCTGGGCACACTGCTGGCTCCTGTTCAGCCGACTGTCCACCAACACCCCCAGGTCCTTTTCTGCCCGGCAGCTCCAGCCCCTCTGCCCCCAGCCTGTCCCCCTGAAGCTCCCAGCTTTCCTCCCAGGGGGTTTTGCTGCCACCCCAAGCTCTCCAGGCCGTACTCACTGAAGCCCGTGCCGCGGCTGGCGAGGTTGGGATAAGCCGTCCCGGTGGGGGAAGCCGTGGAGCCAGGGGCTGCCATGGGGCTGAAGGAGGACGGGGTGCTTTGGAAAGTCCCCATGCTGAAGGAAGGGGGCCGAGTCTTCACCGTCTGGGATGCCACTTGCTGCTAAGAGAGGAAGAGGAGAGATAGGTTCATTCTGGATCTCACCTTCAACCAGGGTGAGAAGTCGCTGGAGCGGCCCCAAATAAAAGCACCCGGGCACAGAGCGTGGCTCCAGCACCCAGAGCAGGATGATTCAGGATGGGGGAGAAGGGTTTAAAGCAGCAGGGATTTGGGGATTGCAGCGAGGGCTGGGGTTTTGCTACCTGGGGTGTGAAGGTCGGCCGTGTCCCCGCAGCCCAGTTGGTTCCAGTGGCCTGAGCTGGGTTGGAGTGGCGCGAGATCTGTGCCAGGATGCGGCCGGCCGAGGAGGGCTGCTGCTGGATGATGTTCACAGGAGGCACCATGCTGCTGCTCCTGAGGGACAGGAGAGAAGCCGTGGAGCCAGGGGCTGCCATGGGGCTGAAGGAGGACGGGGTGCTTTGGAAAGTCCCCATGCTGAAGGAAGGGGGCCGAGTCTTCACCGTCTGGGATGCCACTTGCTGCTAAGAGAGGAAGAGGAGAGATAGGTTCATTCTGGATCTCACCTTCAACCAGGGTGAGAAGTCGCTGGAGCGGCCCCAAATAAAAGCACCCGGGCACAGAGCGTGGCTCCAGCACCCAGAGCAGGATGATTCAGGATGGGGGAGAAGGGTTTAAAGCAGCAGGGATTTGGGGATTGCAGCGAGGGCTGGGGTTTTGCTACCTGGGGTGTGAAGGTCGGCCGTGTCCCCGCAGCCCAGTTGGTTCCAGTGGCCTGAGCTGGGTTGGAGTGGCGCGAGATCTGTGCCAGGATGCGGCCGGCCGAGGAGGGCTGCTGCTGGATGATGTTCACAGGAGGCACCATGCTGCTGCTCCTGAGGGACAGGAGAAGGGCTCTGAGGACACTCGGTGTCACATGAGTGTCCCTCGTGTCACCGATACCCTGCATGGTATCGGTGGGGGGAAGCCAGCCCAGAAACGTGGGGTAACTCTGCTCCAACACCAGTGCCCACCGTGCTGCCCTGTTGGGGCTGGGAGCAAGGCCCCTCTTGCCCAAATCTGCTTGGGCTTCAGTCTCAAGCATGGCCAAGGCACAGCAGCCCCACGGACAAGCTGTGGCAGCAACAGAGCAGAGGGATATTAGGAAACAGAGCTGGGGAGGTGAAGGTGAGGATGAGGAACAAAGGGCAACAAAGATGATTCAAGGATTGGAGCATCTCCCTTATGAGGAGAGACTGAGAGAGCTGGGACTCTTTAGTCTGGAGAAGAGAAGGCTGAGGGGAGACCTTCTCAATGCCTACAAGTATCTCAAGGGAGGGTTGAAGGAGGAGGGAGCCAGACTCTTTTCAGTGGTTCCCAGTGAGAGGACGAGGGGCAACGGGCACAAGTTGGACCAGAAGAGGTTCCACTCAAATCTGAGGAGAAACTTCTTCACGGTGAGGGTGGCAGAGCCCTGGGACAGGCTGCCCAGGGAGGGTGTGGAGTCCCCTTCCTTGGAGATCTTCAAGACCCCCCTGGATGCTCCTGAGTAACGTGCTCTAGCTCTGGGCAATCCTGCTTCAGCAGGGGAGTTGGACTAGATGATCTCTAGGGTCCCTTCCAACTCTAAAATTCAGTGAAATTCAGTGAAGGGCCGTGCTGACTCTGCCCAGCCTCAAAGCTCCTGCACCTCTGACCAGGAACAAAGCAGCACCAGGCAGGGGAGGAAAAGGGGCACAGGAGCCCTTCTCACCCCCACCCCTCAAAGAAACCCATCCCTGGATGGGGTCCCCCTGGGTTCCACCACACAGGAACACATTTCTGGGCAATCACTGCCACGGCAGAGACTGGGAATGCTCCAGCTGCAGCAGAAGGACAGACAAACAGGACAGGAACAACAGCAGGACAATCCAAAATGAACACGAGGCCATTTAAAGCCCGGGACAAGAAGCCTCACCTGAAGTTCTCAGCAGGTCGAGATGGGGTGAAGGTGTTTCCCTGGGTAAAAAGGGGCTGGTTGGCAGGCACGGTGCTGGCAGGAAGGGCTTTGCTCTGGTCTGTGGAGAGAGGGTCGCTCCCGTTAGGGCTGAGCGTGTCCCAGCAGCAGGGAGAGGGACAGAGAACCAGTGCCCACGTGAAGGAAGACTGTTTGGAGCCAAAGCATCAAACATGACTGTCCTTATCCAGACACAGTCTCCAGATGGGTTTGTAAAGCCCGTTTAATTTGATTTCCTCTCCATTTTCTAATAAACTTTGCATTAAGGTCCTGTGGGGTTGGAGCATCCACTACATTCTGGGCCCAGTTTAGGAACAGAGACAACTGCTCTCTGGGGACAAACAGGAGGGATCAGACCAAGGCAGGTGGTGACACTGAGCAAGAGACACCTCGTCACCCACTGCCTCCTCCCACACCTCCAGCAAAGCATGGGCTGCAGGACAACCCACTGCCACACATCAGAGTAGACAGGAATTACCCAGCTGGCATCAAAATCAGCCCTATTCTGCAAAGCTTGGGCTGCCACAACAGAGTCACAGCACCCAGAAGGGCTCTGAGGCGACTCAGAAAAGAGCAAAGAGCACTTGGATTGAAGCTGAAGTGGGATAAAGAAGGGGAGGTGCCCCCAGCCCAGCCCCACTCACCTGAGCTGATGCTGCTGTAGATCTCACTGAACCTCGGGTCCCGCTCCTGATTAAAAAGGGTCTCTGCCTTCTCCAGGGGCTTGCTGTGCTCGGGGCCGGCAGCGGTCCCAGCCTGAACGGGGACCTGGGACAGAGGTGGAGGGAGTTCAGCAGGGTCACAGCCAGCACAGAGAACAGCCCAGGGCTTCACAGGCAAGAGGCAGGGCTGTCTCCAGCCTCCTGTGAGTTTTATCACAATAATGTGGCAGTTTAGGACAGGCAGCATTGATGGGGATAGCAGAGAGGGTGCCACGGGGGCAGAGCACCATCAGGCAAGGACATCCAGCAAAACCCAAGCCAGAACACCTTCCTCTCCAAACTCTCAGCAGCCTCAAAAGTCTTGAAAGCCCCCAGCAAAAGGGAATTTAAATAATGCAGGGCAACAAAAGCAAGGAGTAAGCCAAACCCCCGTGGATTTACCTGCGAGTGGTCGTACCCAGCCAGGCTCTCTCTTCCTGGGATGACTTCCAGCTCCGTCTGTTGTGGCGGCGGCTGCTGCTGCCTAAAATAGAAAGTCTCTGTAACAGGAGAACACACGGGCTGCTAAAAAACGATTGCCAAGGGAACAGTGGTTACACCAATGATTCATTAGCCCAGAGGAGTTGAGTGCTGCGGAGAGGAAGGTTTGGGGAGGAAGGCTATTTGAGAGGAGGGCAGAACCGGCGAGAGAGGCACGGTAAAAGGAGCCGAGCACCTCCTGACCTTGAGGGCAGCTGGGCCGTGCCCATCTCCAGGGGAAGGCTGACACTCTGCCCCAGCTGGGGCCTCTGCAGGGAGTTTGACAGGGCAGGCCGAGACTCCTGGCTCGAGTTCCTTCAAAGCAAAGAAAAAAAAAAAAAAAAGAAAAAAATATATTTAAAAAATACCAAACGAAAGCAAACCGTTGGCTACTGCGCGGAGGAGGAGAGTGCGTTCGTCTGGGACAAGAGTGGAGGCTTTGATTTGCAAAATTTGGTCGAGTGAAGGGTCCTTCCACTCGGTTTCCGTGGTCTCTAAAGGGGGGGGGTGTCGTGTAATATAACACTAAAGGCTGGGAGCCAAAGGGCTCTGCCCCCTCCCACTCCGTCACCGAGCAGGGGAGCAATTAATAACCTACACCAGGAGCACGGCCAGACCTGCACCACCCTTAAGAGGAAAGGAAAAGATTGTAGGAGCCTAAAAACCCCCAGGGTTTTCCATTCAGCTCTGGGTGAGACCCTCCAGAGACCACCAGTGCTTTTAGGTTTTAAGCCCGAGATGTCGGAGTTCGTTACGCTCTTGCGTTCGCTGTCAGAAGTCAGGTAAATGTTTAACTCCCCCAAGAAAGGCATAATAAAAATCCTGTGTGCTTTCAACAGTTCTTTTTACAAGCTTCAGTAGTCCCTGAGCCCAGAGATGAAGCCATACAGATAACCTGGCAGAGATGCACACAGATAAAACACACACCACAGTCAGACAGAGAGCGCTCCTTCTCCGCTCTGAATTTAGGCAGCGCCTTTTGAAGCGTAGGATGGATGTGAGGATGGATGCGTGTGGGATGGACGAGTTCAAAGAGATACCTCTACCAGCAGGGCAGGAATTAAAGCCCAGATCAGGAGGATTTCAGCCCTGCACTCACACCACAGCTGGGTAAAAGCCAGAGGGATTTCTCACTGCTCAGCTCCTAATACTTTCTCAGCAGAAAGCACAAACTCACTGGCTGCAGGAAGGGAAAATGTGCTGCCTGCTCTCTAAGACCCTGCCTCATTTCAAAAAAAAATAAATAATAAAATCCTGGCTTTTCACCTGCCCAGAAGCAATTTAACTTTCTGTCTGCCTAGTGGAGAGGCTCCATCTGCTGCACCCCCCAAGCCTGCCACCCCCGAGTCACATTTCTCTGTCTTTATTTCAGCTGCTGCTCTTCTGGAAGGGGCCTGGAGCTCACTCCTGGGAAGGGAGAGCAGCTCTGCTCGTGTGACAATGGTCAAGAGAGAGACCAGAAGAAAGCAACAAGGGGAGCAGTCTCCCCACTGGAGCTCGCTGCTGAATCCCAGGACAAAACCACAGCCGTGGAGAAAAATAAGCATTTATTCTCCCCCATCAGCTGCAGACAGTCCTGCTCAGACAGTCCTGCTCACGTGAGAAGCCTCCCCGGCCTGTCACAGGAGTCCAAGAGCTCCATTCAAAGCCAGACTCCACTAATATTAGCTCTGACACACAGAGGAGACTCGCTCCAGTAACCAGAGTTAAAAAAGGCACTGCTGGAGCTGAGCGGTGCCAGCTCACTAAGCCCTAGGACTGAGACAGCCAAAGGGATTGAATTTCTTGTGCTTTATAGTCCTCTAGTGCCTGCCTTGGCCCAGGAAAAGAGCACTCCCAGGACCTGGCAATGTCTCCAGGGCCTGTGCAAAGGGACAGGGAGGTTGGTGAGGGGGGAGAGGCCAGAGCCCCCGCAGTTCTGCGCTGCTGGTTGTGCTGGGACAGGATCCCCTGGGGTTCGTGGGCTATCACTGGTGGTTGGCAAGTCATTTCCATGTACATACTTGACGTTGGTGTTGGTACAGATGATGTACTCAATTTCATCCGAGTAGGGGTTCTGGAAGGTAAAGGAGCTGGTTCTCATCCAGAGCCATTCCCGGTTTTTGGATCGGAATCGGAACATGACTGACAGAACCTGGCCTTTTAACTTCACCACCTAAAAAAACGTAATGCCATCAGTAGTACCTGATAAGAGAAGGTGTTGAAGAGCAACCTGCTTCTGAGCCACCCCCACTGACACCCAGCGATGGCCCTTTGCCTCAAAGCCTACAAGACTGTACCTCGGCCTCCCCCAACTTAAATCCCACTGCCACTATTCCCTGCTTTGATTCCCGAATGATATGGGAGATGAGGAATCCAACATCCCCCTTCGTGGCTTCCTCTTTTCTTATCTCTTTGCACCGGTGAGATGTATGGAAAAAGCCTCCAGTCAATGAAGCACATGCTGTTTGCTTCTGATTCCAACTATTTGGACAAATGGATATGAGCGGCTACTTTTTGGAGTCATGAAAGCACAGGGGCAGTCTTACCTGCCCTGCCACAAGTCCAAGGCCCTCAGAAATAAGAGTAACGACAACAGGGCAAGCAAACCACCTCCATTTCGAGTTCCGCAGCACTGGGCTGGGCCCTAGAGATGAACCAGTGTTTCAGCCCCAGAAGCATGGCATTCAGGTAGGCACTTTGTAGCCACGTCTCTGGCCCCTAAAAGCAGAACTGGGCTGGCAGCCAGAGGATGAATTCGAGAGTTAGAAACATCAGATGCTTCTGGTTTGTTTTGTGCATTTACCGTTAGGTGACTATATCTGCAGCTGCCATTGGACAAAGGAGAAATAGCTAAGGTTTATTTTTCTCTTGTTTTTCTCCTATTTTTCCAATTGGTTTCATTGCATTGGTTTCATTTGTTCCAACCTGAACACCACAGGGCATGCAAAGCGGTGGCTGAGACTTTTTTACCTGCTGGAAGCTGTCCCGCAGAAGCTGCTGGTCTTCTGGGTGGCAGAAATCCACGATGTCTTTCCCCAGAAGTTCCTAATTTTTTAAAGGAATTGGGGGTGAGATCAAGCCAAAGTCCCTCTTCCAGGTCTGCCTCCTTAATTCCACTTTGGACAGGGAATTACTGCTCCCACCCCCACTGTTACACAAACCAAGCACGGGAACTGCTGCGCTGTATTTTAAAGAGAAGCACAACGGCGGGTGACTAATGTTTGATCTTTAACTCAAATGGAGGCAAAACCAATCTTAATTGACATTTGACACAACCCAGAGCCACTCGTCCTTCCAGTGATCAAAGCACTTGGAAAAGCACATGAAAAAAAAAGCAACTGGTGGAGAAGAAGCACGTGTCTGGTTTGGGCCCTGGGCATGGTTTTATCAGATCTGTTAGAGGAGCAGAGCTGTGGTGCACAAGGGAGGGAGGAGGGAAAAATAAGTTTCAAGAGCAGTTCTTGCTGAGAAAGCTCCTGGCATTTCCTCACCTGTGGCTGGTAGCCCACGGTGGCCACGCAGCGGTGGTCTATGAAGGTGAAGATGCCCTCGGTGTTGTGGCGGGAGATGAACTCCGTGGGCTGACAAACACTGTTCATGTCCGTGCAGTTGGGCGAGCTCGTGACCTGCAGGGCAGGACAAGGGACAGCATCAGCACATCTCCCCAGAACTGCCTTCTCCCACCCAGGCCAGGTTTGTGACAACCAGGGGACATCTTGAGAGAGAAGAGTTTAATTCGGTGGGTTTTCAGGACAAGGAGATGTTGAACCATCAAAAAATGCCACCCACCTGGAGCCTGCCGATAGCCACGAGGCAAAACTTGCTGCCCTGGCCAGCGTCTGGGTCATCATCAGGCAGTGAAACACCTGAGGGAAGCACCAAAAAATCCCACCAAGGTCAATACAGGTGGAAAAATCAGGAGAAATTGCTCATTTCAGAGGAAAAAGACACGCAGTTCTGACTTCAATACCCCTCTCCACCCCGTTTTGTAAATCAATATCCTCTCCCATGAAGGAATTTGGTAAATTAAACTGCCTTCCCCACCCTTTTTGTGCCAGAAGGGTTAAAATGCAGTTCTGACTTCAATACCCCTCTCCACCCCGTTTTGTAAATCAATATCCTCTCCCATGAAGGAATTTGGTAAATTAAACTGCCTTCCCCACCCTTTTTGTGCCAGAAGGGTTAAAGATCTCTCTAACTTCCAGCACACACTAGAATATCCGACACTGTAATATTATTTTCATCCTCTACAGCATCTCTGCTGTTTGGAGACACAGAGCTCTGAGCCAGCACCTGCAAAAAAATCAGTTCAATCCTAAAATAAGAAAAAGTGATGAGACACATTTAGAAAGAGTTTGCTGGCACATTGGGTTCAGAGAACAGACAATTTCAGCCCATATGCTCTTAAAACCAGCCCCAACCCAACGCTTCGGCCGTCGTTACCTGCTGGGGGCCAGGCCTTGATGTAACCCGTGCAATGCACCACAACGTAGTGAGGTTCACCATCCTTTGCAGCACCCAAGCCATTCCTGGGGAGAGAAACAGTCTGATTGTACTATATATCACACCAGGGGAGGGTCAGGAGAGGTTTCTGCTTGTATTTTTAAAAAAACTTCCATAGAACGTCTTCACGGTAAAGAAAAGAACAAAGACTTCACGTAAATATAAGAGGTTTGAGACAGAATAAGTTGGAATTGATCACAATTCCAAGTGAAAAAGGGACAACAGACACCAGAGCCCAACAACAGCGTGGAGAACACGTGGGGTTAAACTGGCTTCACATCCAACCTGGGTGTGAAGCCAGAGAATAATCAAGAAAGATTATTCTTGCCCAGGATTATCCTCCTTAACGCAGTGGTATTTTGGTTCCTCTGCCCACAGCTCTGTCTAAACCCTTCCAGGAGCTGTGCTGGTCTGCCCTCCACACCCCAGTGAAGGAGCTGTAGCCCTTCCTGCTCCCAGTAACACCACACACTTGCCCATTAACTCCAGAGTTAATAACCTGCAGCGATTCCTCATGAAGCTGAGACGATTTACGGAGACGGGGTCCACGGAGCTGTTGCCACACCTGCACCAGGGTGAGAAACGTGAGGAGAAAGGTTTTTATCTTTCTTGGCCAACACCAGAATGATTTAACAGTCTTAAATAAGAGGAAACTTCTATAAATGGGGACGAAGCTTTGGATCTCAATCACACAAGCGAAAAAGACCTCATTCTACAGACTTTAAGGGAGGTGACCCATGGGGTCAAAAGAAATTGTTACTTGAAACTGGATGTTCTACAACAGTCTTGAGAGTTATCTTGGCATAAGGCAAAGGCAAAGTCTCAAGAACTCAATATTAGCTTTGTGTGGTGGGCTCAGCCGTGTCAGATCATGTCTAATGCCAAAATGGGTGAAATAAAAGCAGGATGGGGTCAGGGAACAAGTTCAGCTTCAGGCTCAAGCGAGATGTTCCCCAAGGAATGTCTTCATTACCTCATTCTGCAGATGAAGGATCTCCGTGAGCCCATGCACATCCTCATGGACTGCTGCCCCTCCTTCTTCACCGTCCCCGTCTTCAAATCCAGGATGCGACCTTAAAGAAAGAAGAAAAAAAAAAAACCCCAAACTGCTGTTGCACCAGGAGTCCTTCCACCAGTGCAGGCACCCGGCAACGTATTAGGAAACTAGCAGGACACAAGTGTCACCGAGGGTACCTTTAGATGCATTCTCAGGGGGGGCTGCAGGATCCTTGTTAGAAAGGCACCAGGGTTTGGTTCCTTCTACAAAGGGAAGGTTTTAATCCGAGGGTTTTCACCCTGCCCGACCCCGCCAGATCCCTCCCCAGGCTGCTCTACCTGTCAGGGCGTTCTCGGAGGTGGAGAGCTGCTCCCTCAGCTTGCCCACGTCGTCGGGGTGGACCTGGTCGTAGAGGGTGCTGCCAAACCACTCCGACTGGGGCTGGTTGAGGACGGGAGTCACCGAATCCGAGACGTAGACCACCCTCCCGGTCTCACAGGACACTATGAAGAGAAAGCCGTCGGCTGCCTCTAGGATCAGGTGTTTGAGTTCCTGTGTTCACAGACAGACAGACAGACACGCTCTTAACTCCAGAGTTGAGTTGACCTCACACCCTCCAAACCCACCCTGGGTGCCTTTTCCACCCCGCTGCTACTCCTCCCATTGCAGTATTTCATAGAATCATTGAGGTTGGAAGAGACCCTTGGGATCATGGAGTCCAACCATCTCCCCTACTCTACAAAGTCCTCCCCTACACCATGTCCCTCAGCGCTGCATCTAAACGGCCCTTCAACACAGCCAGGGATGGGGACTCCACCCCCTCCCTGGGCAGCCTGTTCCAACGCCCGACCACTCTTTCGGTGAAAAATTCTTTCCTAATGTCCAGTCTAAACCTGCCCTGTTGGACCTTGAAGTTGTTCCCTCTTGTT